CCCCAAAACCCCAAAACCCCAAAACCCCAAAACCCCAAAACCCCAAAACCCCTCGAGAAGGATTTTAAGTTGAGGGATTAAAATATTGATAGGTAAAACAAATCAAGCAGAATGAATGAAAATATCAATAAACATGGGAAGAATATGCGGAATGGATCAAAGATCAGCTGTAAAGTTACTATGAAAGGTATTGTTAACTCTTTAAACCAGCTCTATTATAAAAAACTTCTTTCAAATTCCGAGAATAATCTCTTTATTAAGTTCCCCAATAACTACCTTCCCTAGAGCTCTCCTATTCCATGCTATGCTCACACCATTTTCTCATACAACCCGATGTGTATTAAAGATATTAGCAATATCACATTTTAGATTATTTTTGTTAGAAAATTCATCTAAAATTTGATGAAATACTGCAAATCCTTTCACTAGTATGCAAGCAAACACCGAGAGTCAAAAGAACTGAGCTATTATCTTTAAACCCCTCTCTAGCTAATCTAAATTCTTCCTGAATAATTCATGCAGAATTTAGTGGCCATATTAGTCTTGCCACCCAATTATTTTCAGTGTGGGTTTACTTTGAAAAAGATAGAATTGAATGGGTAGTCAGGACTAAATATTTATAACATGTTCTATTCTTCCTGACATAGCTAAATCCATGCACCACTACAAGTGTGTTTGAAAACATAATTACGCTCTTTAGGATGCACAGTTTCAGATATGATGGTACTTCAGCAGCTTCTGAACCAAAACAGACAGATAAGTGGGACGGAAGATATTAGTAAAGATGATCATTTATCGAATCTTGAAACAGCTTACAATCAAAATTTAATGAAATCTGGATGAAAAACAGAGAGTATTTTGACTCCAGATGCTAAAGCATCGTCTATTAAAGACTCTAATTTATCAAACTCTCTTAAAAAGGAGTCGGGCAGGTTTTGCATCAGCCAAACTCAAAATTCTATAGAAGGCAAGAAAATCCTAGACCAAAAGTTTTGAAAGGATACGACAACAGATGAAAACAATGTAGATCTTCCTAAAATCAGAATTCTCGAAACAAATGAGAAATTAAGTCTACTAGATAAAGAAGGATACAGAGCCATTTGGGCACAATTGATCAGCCATGGCTTATTAAACACCCAGCATACAAAAGAGTGGACCCGTGCAGAGGAGCCCACAGAGTCTACTAAATAAATTAAAATTTTCAGAATTCTACTACCTAAAGCTCATGGAAAAATTAGACTCAGCAAAACTTAAAGATGGTATCAGTGAAAACTTCGAGAAAGTTTTCAGTGAACTCCTTAGCCAAGTATACAGTGTTAAAACTTATTTTCAAGATAAGTTTCAAGAGAATGTCGATAAACTCTTAAGATTTACAAAAACTACTCTAAGTGAGAAATGTAATGATTCTTATGCTAGCTTTCTAGTTACATATATCCTCAAAGTTGCTCAATGGGGAAGGAATGCTCTCTTACAACATGTTATAAATCTTGTGATTTGCCAGAAAGCTAATGGATATAACAGGGACTTTAAGGTCATGATGTTGAAGCCATTTAAGAAATCTGAAGAATATTATAAAGAGTTCTTAACCCAATTCATGATAATTATGGCAGTCCTAGTTAAAGGAACTCAACAATTATTCACTGTTTTTCAGCACTTAACTCAGAATTCTGAGCCAGGTATAGCTGAATATGATTTTGAGAATCTTGGAAAAATATTGTTTCATGGAATCATTTATAGTAATCCTTTAGTGCAAGAATGCCTTAATGAGGTAGCTATGGAACTTCCTGAGCAATCAATAATACTAACAAGTTCGTATGAGTCTTGAAGGGATACTGATACATCTTTCAAGCCAAATATGGAATATAATCCGGCAAAGGTGCATAACTACATGAGGATAAATAGCGGACTAAAAGCTGAGGCTATTCAATTTATTCTAAACCTAAAAGTTGTGAAGTTTAAAGATATAGAAATCACCAATCGTCAACCTTTAGTAAGGGAGGATTGTATGAGCCTAATGTTGAGTTCAAAGATAGATTTATACGGAAGTAAATTTCTTAAATTTCAGCACGAGTCCAAATCTAGTGATCACTTCCTAAAAGTGTTTAGTTCAATAATTGATACCCCTTCTCCCTCAGAAGTAGCTATACCAAACTCTTCAGATCATCTACTAACTATCTCTTCTTCCATCCCTCAAAATATTCAAAATCCCAATGATTCCCCTCATTTTTGTCCCGAAAAGTAAGCCCAACTCCCTTCAAAATGCTCAAAATCTCAATATTCCTTCGAATTTTAAAAATTCTCCCTTAAAACTACCCTTCTACTTCTCTATAGCTCTTCAAACCCGTCTAATATCTCAATGACCGATGTACAACACCCCCAAGAATCTGACCTCAACCACACAAAATTCACCCAAAACGCCGAAAATATCATCTCACAACTTCTTTACGAAGAAGAGCAAGCTAAACTCAAACAACAAAATTCCCAAACAAAGAAGCCTAAAAACAGAAAGAAGAATAAAAAGAACAAGAATAAGAAGAAAAAATATGGGTTGCAGAAGAAACTGGTCCAGCCCAAGGAGAAATCTGATGTGAAGAGTCATGAAGAAGAGCAGGTCAAGAAGGAAGAAACCAAAGATAGTTCAGTGGATAAGTCAGTGGATAGTGTAGAGGAGAAGGAACTTGACCAGTCTGATGAGGAGATGGAAGAGTTTTTACAAAATATGCAGAAGGAATGGGATGAAGGACCCAAGAAACCTAAAATTGTCCCGAATGTAGCACAGCAATGATTGGAGGGTTTAAGAGAAAAGTTAGCTAATCTTGATTGGAGAGAATCTTGTTAGAAATAATTTAAATAATTTTCTCAAAACATCAACTTTTGAAACATTAAAAGGGGTTTTGGGGTTTTGGGGTTTTGGGG